CATCTTCAACAGGCTTTCGCCCTATCTCGATCACTGAGCTCCGCGAGCTCGAGCGACATCTTCAACAGGCTTTCGTCCTATCTCGATGGGTGTCTTTAACATTGGATGGTATATCCATGCTTATTTGTACGAAATCCATGAAAGACACCCTCTTCAACGCATAGAGTTGAGAGGTTGAGCTATTGCCGAGAATCAACCACCAAGCTTCATCTTTTACCTGTAATGTGATAGTGTCGGCTATTTTTTCTCCAGTAAATGATATTTTTTCTACCTGGAGAGTGGAAAGCAGCCAACCTTAGGAAATCGAGGAGCAAAAGCTCGTGATGTTTTCTTGTGTCTGTTTGTCCTTTCCAGTTTTATGTTGAGAGTAACACGAGGATTATCATTAGCCATTCGTTTCTCAACACGTATTGACAAGTAAGAACTCAGAGTTCCAGGATCTGTGCCATAATAAGCTGGATTAACCACCTGGCACAAGAACAACAACTTGTGGGCAACAAAAGATAACATCTCTGATTTTCAACTTTTTTCATACATTTAAATGTCTCATAATTGAGTTTAACATATATAAGATGCAAGACATCTGCATGAAGGCCATTACATTTACAAAAGGTCAATCTTGTAACAGATAGACATAACCTGGCACGAGTGAGTCAACATGAACAGAAGAAAGATATGTATATATAAACAAATTTAGATTCTGAAAAAAATGCAACACTTGTAACACAGAATTGAGTATGTTTTTGTCTCAGCATTTCCCATAATTTGACATTCTATAGGGTCACCAAGTTGTCAAAAGTTACCACTTGTACTAAAAAAAAGGTAAATGATACTAGTAAGCATATACCTACGTTACCAGGCCTGTGTTTTCCTAAAACTATAAAACACAAGAAGTAAAACTATTTCATCGACAACAGTGAGTCTTTAGCTACAAAACATTATATTCGCGCCAGCTATTGTGCAGGGTATAGTGACATGCTTTGTCCAAAACAGTATGCCGTAGTCGCATGACAGGACACAATATATCATGTTCAAATTTCAAAACATGAAATAACATACCAATCTTCGGAATAAATATGTCCAGGTGAGATAATGTATTGCATCCTCTTTATGACTAATTGTTCCAGAAACGATCTCAGCATAAAAGTGATCATGCAATTGTTCTCTGAGACTGCTTTCAACTGGAAATGGTTCACAGAGAAACTTCAAAAAGAAGTAAAAAGATTTTTCCCTTAATGTGAAATATATCACGTAATGTTATACCAAAAATAAATCAATATATCAGACCTTTTTGTAGAAACTCTTTTTTGGTTCATGAACAAGAATGATATGCTTTCCCATGCTGATCGTACTAAGGCCTTCCTGCTCGATCCATCATTTGTAAAATATCGGTAATAGGAAAATCGACATGTCTTTTTGTTCTTGCATCAAAATACTCTGTTCCCTGATCACAAAGTTTATAAGAGATGATTTATGAATACAATTACAAATTAATTTGAAGAAAAAAATTTAAATGAAAAACATACCAAAGTGTAGTGCAATTAATGCAAATTTCAAGTATAGATCGGCAAATAAAATGTTAGGTGACTCGTTAACCTCAAAGTGCGACAAGCAATATATCTTTTATTGTTTCTAAGTGAAATCAGTGGCCGGAAAATTAGTCAGGAGGCTTCTAAGCATTATAGTATAAACATATGCAAATCACTGCTATTTCATTTTAAGAATAATATTTCCTTTTTAAAATTAGTCAGGATTCTTCAGGTTTCCTGGGCGATGAAGAGTTACTACCAGATGCGGAACCTCTTTCATACTCTGGTGCCTACCCAAACATGTGTCATCACTTGTGTCAATATCGTGGAAGTTACCTCTTAGATATCCAACCAGGTAGAATTCTTTATCTTCAATTTCCCTTCATCTCCTTCTGTAACAAAATAATTTTATTTTTTATTAATTTGTTTTATGTAACAAACTAATTACATATGTGATAACTCAGAATCGAGATCCTCACCGTCCTGTGATAGAGGAAAAACAACCTATGAGAATACAGGTTTACTATTTCCTGTGATAGAGGAAGAATAGCCTATGACAATTACTAAGTTGCATTTAGTTTAATCTGATTACACCATCAACACATATATCTAGAGGTTTTACCTGTCCTTCGGAATCGTCTTGAGACCCTCGGGAGGTCTCCCCTCCGGAGGTCCCCGTCTGAGGATCTCTCCAAATTCGAGGATTATTTTTCCACGTCCAGGGACCCGAAAGATGTCTGCCACGGGGTGGACGTTCCCAGTCCAAATGTTTTAAACTTGTATGGACTTCAAATGGATATAACCAACAGAATAATTTTTTAATATGCCTAACTTGAACGCATCGTATTCAGGGTTAAATTATCTGTTTCTATGTCTGATTCTACTGGACTTCTTCCAAATACTCACAATATCAACATGGTCTTGCTTGAGATTTGTTCCGAGCTCTAAATTTTTGGCAATAACATCTTCCAAAACGATGAACCGTGCCGCCTCAAAGAAATGGTAAATTACAGATAGTAAAGCTCTCTTAAACTCATTGCCGCAGTAGAAGGTGTCGTTTTGTCGCTTTGCCTTCGGCTTAGACAGATATTCCAAAGCAGCTCTCAGAGCCTCTCTGCCCACGGGAAGGTCAGTTCTTAAATGTTCGCCTATGTTTGGGTAGGCACCAGAGTATGAAAGAGGTTCTACTCTGGTGCCTACCCAAACATAGGCAAACATGTAAGAACTGACCTTCCCGTGGGCAAAGAGGCTCTGAGAGCTGCTTTGGAATTTCTGTCTAAGCCGAAGGCAAAGCGATAAACGACACCTTCTATTGCGGCAATGAGTTTAGAAGAGCTTTACTATCTTAATTTACCATTTCTTTGAGGCGGCACGGTTCATCGTTTTGGAAGATGTTATTGCCGAAAATTTCGAGCTCGGAACAAACCTCAAGCAAGACCATGTTGATATTGTGAGTGTTTGGAAGAAGTCCAGCAGAATCATACTTAGAAACAGAGAATTTAACCCTGAAAACGATGCGTTCAAGTTAGGCATATTAAAAAATTATTCTGTTGGTGATATCCATTTGGAGTTCATACCAGGATTAAAACATTTGGATTGGTAACGTCCACCCGGTGGCAGACATCCTTCGGGTACCTGGACGTGGAAAAATAATCCTCGAATTTGGAGAGATCCTTGGACGGAGTCCTCCCGAAGGCCTCAAGACGATTCCGAATGACAGGTAAAACCTCTAGATATATGTGTTGATGGTGTAGTCAGATTAAAATAAATGCAACTTAGTAATTGCCATAGGCTGTTCTTCCTTTATCACAGGAAATAGTAAACCGTATTCTCATAGGTTGTTTTTCCTCTATCACAGGTTCGGCTGCTCCTGCTTTGGAGAATTTCATGTTGTCAGCTGATGAGCTTAGGCGACTTGAGGTATTTCAGGTGAAGTCCTTGTTTCTCTCTTTATCGAGTTAGGACAACTAACTCTCTGTTTTATGGTTGACGGGTTATGCGGAGTTATGCGAAGCTATTTAATCTAATGTGACATCATTGATATTAGGTGGAAATACCCATGTGATACTTATTTGAATGAAGTTGTTTCGTTAAAATGAGAACACAAATAAAAGAAAACTAGAAAGGTGGAAATGATATCCGTTCGTGAGACTGTTATAGTTTCATTATAAATGTGTGAGTAGATTGTCTATAACAAGTCCAATCATCAATATAAATAAGAGTGATTAGTGCATTTGTAATTCAAATTAGGAACTCATTTGATTTTCTCACTTTGTTTACGATGGAGTTATCTTGTTTCTATGTTTATTTGACATACAAACCTTATTATATTTTTAATTCTCCTTGGAACAGGACTTATTATGTTTTCTTTCATTTTCGCCATTATACAATTATAATGTTGTGAACCTTAATACATTTTTCTGTTTCTTAAAATTAGACCTCATTATGTTTTTCCAGTTTTCTTTATATTAAACCTTATTATGATATTCCCTTTTTTTATTGTGCTGCGATTTCATATTTCAAGTACTATTGTTTAGATATTTATTTAACCATTAATTCCCTTTTCATGTTTTGATGTGTCAACGACTTATTTGCATTACAATCTTGTAGGTTTATGAGTCATATTCAATAAAATAAGTGTACTTATGGAATATTTTCTGCTGCTAATTGGATTATACTA